AAAAAAAACCCTTAAAACATTTCATTCTAAAATTTACCAACTTAAAGTGGGGGGCACTACAACGCAAAAAATCCCCCAGCCAGCATGGCTGGCGGGGGAATTCTGGGAGTTGAAGTCCACACATCTTAAAGTTGCCAAGTTTGAGAGTCACTGCTTTAAGGGATTTCTTTCTTCCACTTTTCTGGTTTTAAGCTGCTGTTTCAAAGTAACTTTTGTAAAGTCCTTCCTTGGGACAGATTAAACTTCTTGAAATGCTATTTTACAATTTGACATGGGCATTCTGCTCAGTCCCGTTTGTATTGGTCCTTTAGGTTTACATGAGACGCTTGCCCTCCTGACCTCGCAGCTGAGACCTGACTCCAATCACAAGGAGGAGATGGTATTCCTGAGAGACATCTTTAGTGAGAGAAGTCTCAGCTGCTTAATGAAAGTAAATATTTTTCTTTAGAGAAAATCTTTCTGTTGGCTTCCTAGTTTTCTTCTGTGCCTGATATTGCAACCTGGAGCTCAAAACTGGACATTGTGATGCGCTAATATACTGCAGAGAGTGCTTCTGAGCACACACAAAGTTTTTAAAATTTACATTCCATAATTCCTCCAAGGTACTTGGCTTGGCCTGCTTTGAGTTTCCACCCAGGCTCTGGCGCTTTGGTGGTTCATACAATTGTAAAGATGAAACTTTGTCATCAAACTTGTTATTTTGCTCTATCGTAATTCTGCTTTTTACATTATCCAGGATGTAGTGGTGTAATAGGAAAATGATGGAAGATAAGGCTGTCAGAGGCTCTCAGACTTTTAGAATATGCTGTTGACACTTTGTGGGGTTTCCATTGCCGCCAGATTGATCACAAGCAGAATCTGGGATGGTAGTGGTGGGAATCAAGATGGCAGTTGTGACTGTGCAATCAACACAGTCTCTTGCACATGAGTGTGATGTCAATGCACATACAAAAGAGCTGGGCTTTGGTTACACAGTTGCAACCACCTTCTTGTCTTTTTCAACCCCCACCCCACCCCTGTGGAAGCTCCTGTTAACCACTGTGGAAACAGTTCTAGTGTAATGGTATGTGGGAAAGACCTTGGGAGACTAGGCCATGAGATGCTGCCAAGGGAATGGTCATATAAGAGACAGCATAGCCCACAGCTGGATAGTGGGCAGGGCAAGAGGCTCAGAAGAGACTCTCCCTAGTTTCTTGGTAAAGGAGATGGGGAGAGAATTGTATTTTCAGACTTGCAAGATTGATGTTGGCCTCGCAGGATAAACCGGATAAAAATCACAACTAGATGAACGAATTCTACCTTATTGTAAAGCTACACTGACAGAATCTTGCAAGTCTAAAAGTACAATTCTCCCCCGCACCCCTGGTCTCCTTTACCACCCAAGAAACTAGGCAGGGTCTCTTCTGAGGCTCTTGCCCCACCCACTATCTAGCTGCAGGCTATGCTGACTCTTATCTGACCATTCCCTTGGCAGCGTCTTTTGGCCCAGTTTTCCAGGGTCTTTCCCACATACTGTTGCATCTAGCTGGTCTAAAGCTCTTCTTATGTTCTTAGTAAGTAATCAGTGAAAGATGAATAATGCAAACCTTCCTACTTCACAACATACAATTTTCTGCTTGAGCCAGGGCTTCCACACACAATTGATTATGTGAATTTGATTTAGAAACATTTGCAGAACAAAACATATGATACTTCTTTGGTTTTTTATGACCATGAATGGGAATTAACATTTTTCAAAAGGGATAAGAAATTGAAATGATTTACAACAGCATGGATAGGTTACCAAAAAAAGCGGGGGGGAGGGGAGAGACCAGAGAAAGACAGTTTGGAAAGTTCTGCTTAGATAACAGACTATGTCAGTGTGCTGTATAACTTTCCCCATAAAATAAGAATACTTCATCCAATCTGACTGAAACTTGACAATCTCAATACTTCCTGATGTGTTTACCCCACACGCATGATAGAATACCTGAAAATAACCTGTCATTTGGATGGAAAACCCTTTATGTTGTAGGCATAGAAAGCTGAAAATAGTGAAACGTGAACTCCTGAAAACAAATGCATAATTCATGAATGGAAAGGAAAATAAAGGAAAATAAATGGAGAGGAATGAAAACATTAAGAGAAATTAGTCAGTTGCTTTTTGCTCTTGTGACCCTCTATTTCTGATTGCACAGAGGTTTTGTTAGCATCTCAGCTGGGATGGAAGAAAGTTTGTCAGTAAAATAACCTCTGATTTTAAGGTGCTAATTAAATGGAGGGTTTAATATTTAATGGGTGGTAGGGATGTCTATTAAATTAGGGTGTCTATTAAATCCAGGTGGGCTTTTATGCATGTGTATTTTATACATTGTATACATATGTAAAGTGGCAAATGTATATATAAAATGGCTACCAGGATTTTATGCGTGTGCAATAGCATACAGTATGGCTAGAGTTTGTCTATTTTGGCCAAGTTTGCTAAATGAGGTCCGTTAAATCAAGAATTCACTGTAGTTGTTTACATGGTGGTCATACTGCTGAAGATGTTTAACTGTTTAGTGGAAGGGAAGAGTCTGTGCTATTCTATCAACATAGATTTGCAGTCCAGCATCCTGGTGAATTGGGGTTAAATATGCAAGGCAAACACCACAAACTAGATTTAGAGGGGCAGCGTTTTATCCGATCAATTGCCCTCAAACTCCTGTTTTTAAACAAATTGGATCTTGCTGCAAATGAATTTACTTGTGAAAGTGGCTTTTTTTTTTTTAAATAAACACACTTTGAATCCTTTTGAAATAAGCTTGATAATAAAGCCTATACAGCCATTCAGGGTCTTTGCTCACAACCTGAAAGGAAGCAAAAATGCTAGAATATGCAGACATTTAGATTGTTGATTCTTAATGCCGCTTTTTGACAACATAGTTATAGATCCCTTTGCAGAACATGCAGACTATATTTTCAGTTAATAATAAAACAATGGACAGAAACACTTTTGGAGGGAACAGTGAATTCAAAAGAAATAAAAGTAGATGAATTATTTTTGTGCAGCATCCATGCCAAACAGTGTTGATGTTTATACTGTATCAACAGCGCATAGGTCTTGTTTAGGAAACTTAAAATTACCTTGGACCTACTTGGAACTGGAAAGTATGTTGTCGGTGTTCTGCAAAATGGTAGTTGTGGAGTGGCCTCTAGTCCATTCACAAGATGGTGGCCGTAGCTGGTGTGGTCAGTCATAGAATAGCCAGAGGGCAACTTGTTGTGGCTCAAAAGTGATCAGTTTGGCTAAGAAACTGCGTACAAGCAGAAATGGGGCGCACTCCCTAGAAGCTAAAGCACACATGTGTTTGTCCGTATAACAAAATATTAATTTCATGGCATTTCCAGAGAAATGCCCAGGGAAGAAACCGAGGGGCTAGTGAGAGATGAAACAATGTAGGATGTGGAATTCAAGGAATATAATCAATGTTAAAAAAATAGAGAGAACTAAAATGGGACTGACAAAATGCTTGACCAAATGTTTTGCTTCTAATGCAAGATTAGAATCTGATAGAAAAGCTGGGAACTTTGGCACACAGTCCTTCTGATGAGGAGTCAAGGCACACAACTTTTTTCACAGGGACTTGGTTTGGAAGGGGCTGCAGTCCAACAAGTGGACAGGGCCTGGGATGAGAATTACATCTGAGTGAATGTTAAATGGTTGTAATTTTAATTCAAGCCTAACTAAAATTAAATATAATTAATCCAAACCCATTATTATTAAATATTATAATTATATATTATATTATAAGGACACATTTATATATTATATATTGCAATTATAATTACATATTACATATTTGCCTACATTGAATTAAGTAAATAAACTATTCAAAACCATTAACATACAATTCCTACTTATTGATAATGTTTCTGTAATATCATTTTTAAAAATCACAAATAAAATAAATGGGAACTCACAGAGAAACTCTGGGGCTCTGGAGGATTGCTCTGACCATGGGATCTTTCCTTGTGTACTTCTGCTTTGGGGACAAAATACCATTTTTATTGTTTTGGAAGAAGCACTGAGCAGTAGAGGGGGCACCCCCAATAGCTTCTGGCCAGCCCGGCATCTGCTGCTTTCCCACCTAAAGGTAGCGTTCCTACAAAGCATCTTTTGTAGTGATCCCATTTCAGCCCTCAAGCATCCTGTGTCTAGGGAAATGAAAATTGCAAGAGCCATCAGGCGGCGGGTGCTGCTGCCACAGATCTTTTTTAAAAAGCCTGTTATGTTGCTGCAAAGAGAAGCTATAGCCACCATATAGATTCTTAAATTGATTATCTGAGAATAAAGTGGAGAATTGGAGACCCAGTTTTCCACTGAACCAAGCCTTTCTTTTCTACAGTCACATGCTGGACATTTGTGGTTGAAATAAATAGCTTGAGAGGATTTGTTTCTAAGACAGCTCCAACTGCTGAATGTTGTATGTGTGTGTGTGCATGTGTGTATATTTTGTCTGTTCTCTGTTTCAGATTCATGAAAAATTGTGCCATTATGAACAACACAGCCCGGTCCCGGTACTGCATAGTGCCTCGGCTCTAGCTGAAGATGTAAGTGTCATCTGGGGGAGGGCAAAAGGAAGGAAACAGAATGGAGTATCATGGGAGAGGGCTTAGCTGGCTGACTGGCCAGGAGCAATCTAAACTACAATCTTTTGTTGTAGATCCCACTGATAATCCTGTTGCTAATATGTGCACAGACTTACTGAATGTTCCACATAGATCTTGAACAACAGAGGAGGAGCAGACCAGTTCCTCCCAATAAAAACCCGGACATTTTTGCTCAGGATGTCCCATGCAGCTGATACCACATCCACAAAGAACTCTTTGAAAGTGCCTCGCCAGATCCATATTGCCAAAGGGCCAAGTAAGGAGAAACCAATCCATTTCCTGTTTCAGTAGAGGGGGTCTGTGTGTTTTCCTGCTCCCCACTCACCAAGCTTCCCTGTTTAAATTGGAATGAGCCTGGGTGCAGGGGTGGAGGAGAAAGATCTGTCTCAAGTATAGCCTGCTTCAGTGTAGCCAACCTCCTCCTCCTCCTTCCCCCATCATCCCAATTTATTTACTATATCAGTCTAGCCATGAGATGCATCTGATGAAGGGAACTGCAGGTCACATAATCATAGGCCTTTTTATAAAATGTGTTGGCTGGCAAAGGTGCTACCATCTGTGTTTATGGTCGAGTCTTAATTTATATAGATATTTTGGCTTGGTTTTCACTGAAGTGTTAAACTCGTATCTAAACTGAACTGCTTTGGACCATTGTTTCTCAACCTCAGCAACTTTAAGATGTGTGGACTTCAACTCCCAGAATTCCCCAGCCAGCATGGAGTTGAAGTCCACACATCTTAAAGTTGCTGAGGTTGCGAAACACTGCTTTAGAGTACAGCTAGTCACAGATAACATGAATCAAAAGGCGAACTAGAGACTGCTCTCAGCCGTCCTCTTTGGGTCTCAAGGATGATCTCAACCACCTCCTGTTTATTTTTGCCTTTTTCTAGGCAGGGCTGCAGCCACCCACCATTTTAACGCTCTTAGGATATTTGTGAAATACTTAGAAAGGGAGATACTGCTGGAAGTGTATGCTTTGTTGTATTTGGTACATGTCAGCTCCCATGTTTCTCTAGCCCCTCTTAATTCTATGTACCGGGCAGGATAGTACATTCTGGGACTTCTGCCCTGGACATATGTGCTTTTCTGGAGTGTGGTCCCAAAATTAGCAAACTCTTGACCTGAAAGTATAATCAGAAAATCATTCATTGTCTTGTCTGTTT